TCTTCTAGTACTACGACTTCTAGTACGTGGACCACTACCGATGAGGCGACCACGTCCTCAACAACCACAACTACTCTGTCCTCTATAACTCCGACTACCGAGGTTACTGCGACGCCTACGACTGCAAAGGGTCTCGAGGGAACTACGGTCGATGAACTGTCTCCTAGTACTACGGCACCTACTACGCCGACCACTACTGGAGAAGTGATCCCGTCCTCAACAACCACAACTACTTTGTCCTTCTCTACAACGCCGACTACCGAGGGTACTGCGACTTCTACTACGACGGAGAGTTTCGAGGAAGTTTGGGTCGATGAATTGTCTTCTTCTAGTACTACGACCTCTAGTACATGGACCACTACCGAAGAGGCGACCACGTCCTCAACAACCACAACTACTCTGTCTTCTACAACTCCGACTACCGAAGTTGCTGCGACTTCTACTGTGACTTCCTCGAAGACAGAGGGTCTCGAGAAAACTAGGGTCGATGAACTGTCTTCTGCTGGTACTACGACATCTACTACATCGACCACTACTGAAGAAGCGATCACGTCGTCAACAACCACAACTACTTTGTCCTCCACGACAGCTTCGACTACCGAGGCTACTGCGACTCCTACTACGACGGAAATTGTCGAGGAAGTTTGGGTCGAGGAATTGTCTCCTTCCACTACCACGACATCTACTACGTCGACCACTACTGAAGGAGCGATCACGTCCTCAACCACCACAACTAGTCTGTCCTCTACAACTCCGACTACCGAAGTTACTGCGACTTCTACTACGACGGAGAGTCTCCAGCAAGATTGGGTCGATGAATTGTCTTCTTCTAGTACCACACCCTCTATTACGTCGGCCACTACTGAAGAAGCGACCACGTCCTCAATAACGACAACTAGTCTGTTCTCTACAACTCCGACTACTAAGGTTACTGAGATCCCTACTACGACGGAGAGCCTCGAGGCAGTTTGGTTGGAAGAGTCGTCTTCTTCTAGTACTACGACTTCTAGTACGTGGACCACTACCGATGAGGCGACCACGTCCTCAACAACCACAACTACTCTGTCCTCTATAACTCCGACTACCGAGGTTACTGCGACGCCTACGACTGCAAAGGGTCTCGAGGGAACTACGGTCGATGAACTGTCTCCTAGTACTACGGCACCTACTACGCCGACCACTACTGGAGAAGTGATCACGTCCTCAACAACCACAACTACTCTGTCCTTCTCTACAACGCCGACTACCGAGGGTACTGCGACTTCTACTACGACGGAGAGTTTCGAGGA